ATTAAAACCATAACATGCATTTAGAAAATGGATCGTGTAATGTCAACTTTAAAGACATTTCAACTTGTCCCTTGTTTTTTGTGGTAATCAGCATTATGTGCTGTTGATTGAGCTTAACTCATCTTAAATCTGGAATATTCCTTTAAAAAAGCTTCGATTTCAGATTCTTAAAAGGATTAGTGCTTTTTCACATTGTCCCAGTGAACCACCGACACCAGGAACCTCTCTGGCTTTGCCACTATACATATCATCTTATAAAAATCACTTATATTGTTGCGTAAGAGCATTTTAATGTTTTTGAACGTTACAGAAATCATCTCTGGGTTTCAAAGCCTGAGCCATGAAGCTGTTAGATAAGCCTAAGGCTGAAAGGACAATCAGTCATCTGGCTTACTGTTTATAGCATGGATTTTTTTTTTTAAAGAAATGGACAAAGATAGTGATTTACATGTGTTTATCTTATCTATTCATCTTATTTATCATGTTGTATTTATGAGTGAATTTGAGGGTTTTTGTGAAAACATTTTGTATGTTTCCCTTGACTGCTGATGAATCAACTTTTTTAAAGTATAAATAAAAGTTTTGTCCCTCAGGTTTCTCACGCCATTCAATTATGCTAAAAACTATTTTAATTAAGCAGTGTACTAGTGAATGTATATGTCCTCCGTGTGGACCTTTTGATGTGTTTCTACCAAGCATGGTTATCTCTTTTTCTGCTTCACTGATCTTTCTGAACCAATATATCTGGTTTTGCTGCACTGAAATGCTCTGATAGATTTTACCAGAAGCAAACCTAGGAACAACACGATACAAACTCATTGCAAATTGAGTTCAAGCTCTCATATCCAGCCTGTTTGCTTTAAATTTGCTGCAAAAGGCATTGCAAGTACAGTTAATTCCCGTATGCTGCTCTAAATTTGTGTGGGTGGATACAGTTTAGTGACGCTGAGTGTATTTGAAACTAAGAGCTGCTCATGCTGTGTGGTTAGCTTAAAACACCAGCTATACCTTAACCACTCACACTACTACCCAACAGCACCTAAGGCTGTCATTCACCACCGGATGTTTATACAGTTCACTGTGTGGTAGAGTTGATGCTCACCTGCAACAAAGCTGCACTGTCACTGTTAAGGCTTTCACTACTAACTTACCCAAAACATTTAACTATTGTTGAGAAACCACACTCTTGTGAAAAAGGACACTTTAGCATACTTTTAAAAAGAATGCTTATGGTAACAATAGAATATACTGAAGTGCAAACTGAATGCAATGTTTTCAGACACTTGATTACATATTAAGAGCAACTAAATGTAAATGTATTATAGTTTCAATTTATATTAAATGCAGTCAGCTGAATGTTTGAGGGCTTTTTGACTCCTATAAGTTAGGGGTAGGACTAGTTCACCTAAAAACAAAAATTCTGTCATCATTTACTCACCCCCCACTTGTTACTATCTTGGATGAGATTGATTCTTCTGTTCAGGACAGAATATATTTTGAAGAATGCTGAAGGTAGCCAGTAACTCAAGGGCTACCATCAACTGTTTGGTTACCAACATTCTTCAAAATATCTGCTTTTGTTTTCAACAGAAGAAATAAAATCATACAGATTGGGAAGTAGAGGGTGAGTACAGAATTGATGACAGAATTTTAACCCTATTTTGAACTCAATTTTGAATTTTGAACTCTATTTTTAGTACATTTTACATGTAATTTAATAATTACTTACTAAAATTGAAATTTAGTATTTTTAAAATATATAAACTTTAAATGTAATCACTACAGTTAAAATTACAATCAAGTACTTTACATATGCTTTAGTATGTTAGACAATACGTCAAAACAAGTGCACTTATTTAATGAATGCCAAAAGATTATTAAAACAATCATTTAAAATGTACTTTAAAGTAAAACTTTATGTTCATGGTCATGAAAGTGTACTATCTATATTTAAATGACCTTTTTCATTAATTTTATATTATCTTTAAGTTCAGTTTTTTTATATATAATATACTTTTTTAAGAGTTGAAGTATATTACAAGTGTACATTCAATACAATCAAGCACACTTATATCTGCAATCTGGGACTTTTACCTATTAAAGCAAGAGAGATTACGGAACTAACTAAACAGCTTAAAGTAGTAAACGTGCTAAATATGTAGGCCTGTTGTACTCATTTTGCTGGTTTTGGTATTACTTTCTTGTAGCCAGTATGATGCATGTCTAGGTTTAAATACAGTTTCAGGATGATTTGAATTTCTACCTGAAACTTTTTACGTTTTATCAGACCTCTTCAGTGTACTCACATTGAGGTATATAAATGAATCCACTACTAGAAGAACCCGTAACCCCATTTTTTCCTCAGACAGTGTCGAGTCTTTGTCATGCACAACTCGAATGTAAAAACCTGTTTTTGTACCAGCCACTAAGTTTTCATGGGCTGCAATTATGTTAGTCAACTAATGAGCACAATTACTTCATCTTTCCTTTTGGTAGCTTTGCAAGTCATAGTGGCGGGTTTGTTGTGGAGGAGCTTTTGTTATAATGTACAGAGCTGCTCAGGCAATTGAACACCTGCTACTATATCCCTCTAACCGATGTGTAACTATTATTGTCTCCAGGAAACAGATGTGAGTTCATGACTCTGGAAAGTAAGTGTGTTTGGAGTTGTGGTTGATTTTGTCTGCACGATGGGCTTCTCTCTGTGTGTGTGTGTGTGTGTGTGTGTGTTTGCGCATGTAGGTGGGTGCGTTTCGGAAAATATGACTTGACGTTTCCGGCCATGATTAGATTCATTTGCTGTGCCCCTTGACACTATATGGTGGTCTTCATTATAAGCAAAAAAACAAGAAAGTGGGCTTTGGGTCACCTGTGAGAACCAAATGTTAAAAACTCTGTCCTCATTTACTCACCATCATGATGTTCTTTCTCCTGCGGAACACAAAAGAAGATGTTTTGAAGAATGTTTTTGTCTGTTCAATGAAAGTCAATACACTCCTAAAAATAAAGGTTCTTTATTGGCATCTATGATTCAAGGAAGATCCTTTAACATTGAATCTTTTCATTGGACAAAAGGGTCTTTATATAGTGGAAAAAAGTTCTTTAGATTTTAAAAATGCTCTTCACACTAAGAACAATTGTCACTGCAAGGTTCTTTGGGGGAACCAAAAACAGTTCTTTGCTCCCTATTTTTGAGAGTGTAGGGTCCAAAACAATATTGGACCCCATTGGCTTTCATACACTCTAAAAAATGCTGGGTTGTTTCAACCCAACTTTGGGTCAAATATGGACTAACCCAACCGTTGGGTTACATTTTTACATTAAATTTTTAACCCAAAAGTTGGGTTAGTCCATATTTGACCCAAAGTTGGGTTGAAACAACCCAGCATTTTTTAGAGTGTAGTATGGGAAAAAAACACCAAGACATTCTTCAATTAGAAGAACATTATTTTATGCTCCAAAGAAGTAAGAAAGTCATAAATTAAATTACATAAGAGTAAATAATGACAGAATTATAATTTTTTGGTGAACTGGCCATTTATAACAATTACACTCTAAAAAATGCTGGGTTAAATACAACCCAGTGCTGGGTAAAATAGAGACAAACTCAACAATTGGGCTGTTTTGACCCAGCGGTTGGGTTAAATGTTTAACCCAACCTTCTGGGTAGTAACCCAACCGCTGGGTCAAAACAACCCAATTGCTGGGTTTGTCCCTAGCACTGGGTTGTATTTAACCCAGCATTTTTTAGAGTGTACTATCATGTGTGCATATCATAAGATTTATATTTGTCTTAAATAAAAGTCTAGTCTTTTTTTGATAACGCACATCAAAACAAATCATTTGCAGTAAAAAAAATCATGAGAATCAGCTTTAACTGGAGCAGGACCTACAGTATATTCTTTTCTCTGTTTTCCCATGTTATACACACATAGCGCATTGTGGTAAGACCTCAGAAAGACTTGTGGTCGGAAGGTAAATCATGGGAGCAGACAGATCTCTTCCAGATGTTCGAATTCAGACATACACACACATACACTTGAGAGGGAGCTCATTGGGGAGCGGTGATTTCCCTGGCCGCAGAGTGCATGAGAGGGTGAAGTCGAGTGACTGGAGACAGACAAACACACAGGATGCCAACTTTAAAGTCACCAGGAAAGAGCCAAAGACAGTTGCAGACAGCAACAAATTAACAAGCGTGCTGTAGATCCTAAACCAGGCAGATTCGCCGGTCCTTTTTGCTACTTATGCGTTGGTGTGTGAGAGTGTTTTTGGAAAAACCCTCTGAGAAGGTGTCTCCAGGGTTGTGGTGGCCTGTAGTAAAACAACCCCCCCCCTTTTTATTCCCTGTGGGAAAAACTACACAAGTGGAAAGGGTGCGGATGGAGAAAATCTGAGCAAGACAGAGAAGGGATATGGGAGTGTTTGGGTTGTTTTTTTGGATTTGTGTGGGAAAAATGAAGTGGAGGCTTCCCTGGCTGGGTGCAGGAGATCTGGAAATTTCCAACTGGCTTTGGTTATGTTGTTGGCAGCAATTTCTGACGCACATTCTGAAGCAAGAAGGTTAGAAAACACGTCAAACGCTCAAGAGACTAATATGCGGTTAGGACAAGGTCAAGTGCTATTGTATAAACTTGGAAAAGTAATAAACAGTTTAAAAAATTGAGAAATGCTTGCATCCATTTATCTATTATGCCATCCAATTCACAATCCATAATGTTTGGTTTACACTGTCTTTTGTCTGTGCAACAAAGACTGTAAGTCTTTTACATATCTCTTTAAATATCACACGCACAGGTTATTGAGCCGTGTCGATGTTTAAATGCACCTCAGCCCTCCCAAACAGGTTTGAAAACCACTGTCACCCAATCAGGGACCCTCTTTCTTACAGCTATATGATCATGTCATAGGTTTTCTATACCTCCCTCTTCCTCAACCCATTTTTAAACTCTCACTGACTTTCGCTTGACTAAATGAGTTAGCAAGTTTCGACTTTCGGAATGATCAGCAAGCTGGACAGGTAAGTGAAAACAAAACAAGTGATAGTGAGAGACGAGGGGGATTTTTTTGAGTCTGTGTAGGCAAAATCAACTGTATATCCATTAGAATTGGTAATAATATTTATTAGAGCTTTATTAATTGAGGAATAAATCAATGCTTTGATGTCATTCAGTTTATGCACTTTAATGACGTGCAAGTGCATTGACCTGTTTATAGATTTTCTCCAGTTTCAGAAGTTGCAAATTGAAACTGATAGTTATTAGTCTGTGAGTGATAGTGGGAATAATTTGATGCACGTGGCGCTGACTCTATATTTAAATGCACATAGTCAAGAAGTTAACTTAAGTCTTAACTCAACCGACCACTGACAACTGCAGGCATCCTAGTGGTGCTGAACAATGTGATCATTACAGAATGCTGTAGACACACAGGCGAGTTTCTGAATTATTCAAAAGTTAAGATTGAAAAATATTTAGTTTGTATTTAAATTAAATTACATTTTGAATTAAAATTTGGTTTAATTTGTTTAAAAGTTGCAAATTTGTTTAATTTGAGAGCTAATGGGAAAAAAGTGTAAAAGTTGTTTTCATTCATGTTCAACAAAAATACTATTTTTAAACAGTATTTTGGTCCCCTTTTACAATAAAAATTAATGATAAATGTATAAAATGAATAACAGTGTGTCATATTTTGAAACAGTGTGCTCATGACCCAGAAGAAATTTATCTTCCATTATAAAAATGTGCGCTGGGCCCGAGGGAGACACGAGACATACCTTTGTTTTGTAGTAAAGAGACGCACCGGCCCTGATTCCCTCTCTTTTGACTTTGGACACCTGCGCAATCGCTCCGGCTGCCATGTAGAGGTGAGGGAAAGATTAACTGATAATGTGAAAAGATGAAACATAAAGGTATTATTATAGAGAAAAAAAACTTACTCACTCACTCCTCTTACTCATTCTTTCTCCATCTGTAACTGTTTTTCTCCTGTTTTGTCTCAAGCTACTCTTCCTACGTCACTTGGGTGCATTGTGTCCAGGGCTGTGGGGATCCAGTGTGGACGGTGCGAGATTGTGTTACTCAGTGACCTGGTTCTGCTCCTGGTCGCCCTGCTCTAAATGCGCTCAACAACTTGCCCACTTCCTGTCGCAGACACCCAATCTCCGTCTGAGAATCTTTGTGTCACGCCTTTACTTCTGTGATGAAGAGGACAGCCAGGAGAGGGAAGGACTGCGACACCTGAAGAGGGCAGGAGTGCAGATCTCTGTGATGACTTATAAAGGTAAATGGGGAGGGAACAGAGGGGGCGTGGTTAATATTTGTGATATAACGTGGCAAATTACGTCACACTTGTAGTTTATTAGATTCTCTTTTGTTTCTAGACTATTTCTACTGCTGGCAAACATTTGTTGCACGGAGGGAGAGGAGCTTTAAAGCCTGGGATGACCTTCACCAAAACTCTGTCCGACTCGTTCGAAAACTCAATCGGATCCTGCAGGTTACAAATTTACAATAATTTTAATATGACCTTACTACTGTGGCATTAAACTGCAAGAAAATAATGAATACTAACTAAACTATAGGACTAATATTAGATGACACAATGTGGCCATTTGAATATTTTACAACAATAGCAATGACAAATTTGGTCATTAAGGAAGTGTCCTTTTCTTTTAATCACTCTATTTAACAGTAGCATCTGTGGCAGTAATCCATATGCCATATAAATATAAACATTTTGATGAGGTCAAAAATCATAGCATATTTGCCAGAGCTAAATGACTTTTCTTCTTTTTCACTGTAGCCCTGCGAGACAGAGGATCTGAGGGACGGTTTCACTCTCCTCGGGCTATGATCACAAATATGAGATTCGCAAATCAATGAACACTGAGATATGAAATGAATGGGATGAAAAGAAATGGTGCTATAGACCTGAGACTTGAATCCTTTGACTTGAATCTGACTTAATACGTATCTTGTACTGTATTGTATGTAGCATTAATGTGATTATGTTGGATGTCAAAATAAAAGCTGTTATTTGACACTGACACATTTGACAACTGTTTTTCTGTTTGTGTTAATGAACCAGTATGACTCATAGGTTTAACTGTCCCAGGAATACATATACACTAGTGTTCAACGTTTGGGGTCAGTACTCAGTAAGAAAGAAATTCATATTTTTATTCAGTAAAGATGCATTAAATTGATCAACAGTGACAGTAAATACATTTATAATGATACAAAAGATTTCTATTTTAAATAAATGTTGTTCTTGGGAACTTTCTATTCATCAAAGAATTCTGGGGGGGGGGGGAAATGGTATCATTGTATCATTTCTTGAACACCAAATCAGCATATTATAATGATTCTAAAGGATCATGTCACTGAAGACTGGAGTAATGGAATAATTAAATAAACGCAGCCTTTCTGAGCATAAGAGCTTGCTTTCAAAAAAGGCCCAGTGTCCCACCAATATTAAAATGAAGCAAAATAAAATGTAATGTAAAAGTATATAACATTACTAAGGTATTTGCTATGTAAGTATCATAAAATATATGTAAATACATTAATATAGTACAATTCAGTCATTTGTAACAGGGTTACACCCACCAAGAGGTACTTGGCCAGGAGGCAGAGGAGTGAAGACCCATCCTAACATAATTTGACCAAACTGGGTAAACTTTGTAGTAGTTGTAAAATTCTTCCATACAGCAGTTGTTTACACAGCATATACATCATGTGTATTGTTGAGGCTGGTATGTTCCGCGTGGGGGACTCAGGAAGTGCAAAATGTTTATGCAAATCTGCCCACTCTTTCTCCAGTGTATTATCATGTCTTGTTTCCGGACAGTGAGTGCACAGTGACCCCTATGCTGTTCTTTTGTAACATGACTCGTCCATCTGCTTGTGTAGGTAAGGTGTGTGTGTGTGTTTTCGCAGATACAACGCCTATTAGAGTATAAGCACATTATCTTGTAGCTGCACTATGTTGCCTTAGAAAATAAGATCGAAAAAACACTAGTAAATATCAGAAGATAAACATATCCAGGTAAAAGTACAAACTTAACGACTTACCCCACATATCTCTCCTATTTAATTTGATATTTATGGAGCAACTTTAAAACACTCTATTTTCCTTTTGGCAAATTTGTGCATGCTCTTTTGTTTTTCTTCATTTCAGCTACCAAAATGTTCCTTCACAGAAATGTATCACTGTTCCACTCGTGTCCAGTAGGAGGATCTGTTTCCCATCTATGTTGTGGTGGAAACCATGTGACTCAATTGTATTGTGCTCTGGATCTAAGTTGACAATGGTGAGTCAAAAGATGTAAAGTTCTTCACCCAGAAGAAATTAAAACCATTTTGAATCAGACTCTCAGATATTATATTTGATTTGTCCCCCTTCTCTGTTCGTTCTCTCGTTCTATCCCAACGGCTCTCAGGCAATTGATTTTTCAGAGTCGTTTGACTAGCTAATAACTTCAAGGATGATTCGTACAGTTGTCTGAACTCTTACCGTTTTTTTATGTTTCAAACACAATCAAGTGTCTAATCTAATATAAAATCAATGTCTTTGGCTGATGATACACGGGGCAACTTTTTGAGCAATTTTGCCTGGCAACTTTTTTTGAGCAATGTTGCTTGGGCACATTCCCATTGAGAATGGGTAACAAATTTCTGTCTGGATACTTTAGATAGGTCGTGGGCCCTGTATCTAACCTGGTTGCCCGTTGATGGCAACATTGCTCAAAAAGTTGCCCCGTGTATCATCAACTCTTCTCACGCTTTCTCCCTTAGGTTCGTGAAAGTAAATTTGTCAAATGTTTGTGGATGGCAAACGTCGTCTGATGTATAATGTGAGAAGCTAGGCTACTCAAACACGGTTAGTGTAAAAAGGTATAAATCACATTTTTAAACATATCTAGTGATATGGTATTGCTTTCAAACCCAGGGAGAAGAAAAGATGGGAAAAAACACAATTAACAAAGTTATTTGTGTCTTCCATCTGCTTACATATCAGTAAACATATTGTCGACATATTGTCTCAAAAATGTGTTATTCATGACCGCAGTGAGATCAGTAAACACTCTCAGGCACCAGACACAAGCCCTAAATCAACTCATTACATCACTTCTATTATTTATCTCCACTTATCAAAACAATGAATTACTCAGAGGAGACTTGTATCACAGCTGTTGTGTTTTCCGGACAGGTCTTATGTTCACACTTCACAGCCTGCTGCTGACTTTTTATCATGTCTGTCGCCCCCTACTGTTACATATGCTTTTACTGCATCTAAATCTGTTCTTGTATGAATCTGTTCTGGTAGTTTTCTATAAGAACAGGACATCCTAACATATAAAACATAATAGTCCAAAGTAAATTAGTCATTCATATTTTAACATAACCACACAATGCTTTAATAAGTTCTGTGAAAGGCTGATCTTTGAGAGTGAAAATATCAACATTTTTATTTGCTGTTGTGCATTTCGTCTTTTACTTACAGTGGCTGGTGTGGACATAAACAGTATAATAGAAGAATATGAAGCAAATAGTGGTTATGCAGTGGGCTACTTTAACATTCAGCACCAGAGGACTGTCATGCCCTTTGTGATCCTATTAAAATACAGTCTTTAAAAATACTGAGACATTCAACCAAGCTTTTTTTTCAGTTTCAAGTTCAAGCATTAAAATGATTATAAGTTACATAAAGTGATTATGAACAGTAATGTTTGTGAAGGTCACTGGACCACAGCTTAGGTTTGTTTTAGGAATGTAGCAAGTTTACGTTTTTAGATTCAACATTTAAATTTACAGTTGTATTTGTTGGAACCAAAACTCTGCCCTTTGTCATCCATCTGACTTTAGGCCCTGTTTGCCCAGGTTTTAGGGTTGGCACGGAGACAGCGTTTCATAGTTGTCCTCTTTTGGCGTTTTGGCCAACCCGATTTCTCTCTACAGAGTTCAGCTGAAAAAAAAGAAAGAGAGAAAGAGAGAGAGAAAGTACTCACCACCTTAAGGTTATATGTTTTGTATTCATTTATCTTTGGTCAAATAAATGGAGCCTTGCTGAGCACAAGACTTCTTTCAAAAACATTTTTAAAATCTTACTGACTGCAAACAGTAGTGTAAGATATTATGATTTATATTGAATTATGAAGATATTATTATTAATTATTATAGAATTGATAATTATCAAATTATTATCTTGAATAATTTTTTTCCTGTTACAAGCATTAATCTCACTAAAACGTGTTAGATGTATTTAAAAATGGAGAAGGATAGAGTTTTATATATTTACAATATAACTGTCAGAACAAAGCAAAAACTGTCAGAACAAAGGTGTAAGGTAGAAATGCTAAATAATATATGATAACAATATTTATATATCTAGCAATATGGCCCATTCAAAAAACATACATTTCTACCCCTACTCTCACATGTTCTGTAGTTTGTTACTGACATATTGAGTGACTTACCCATCAGGATCTCGTCTTGCTGGCACACGGTTCTTACACAGATTTCTTTGTTGATCACATAGACTCTTGGAAGACTGCAGAAAACAGATGTCATTTATTTCACATGCACCATATCAAATACAAATCTCTTGTTCAGCAGAGGAGGATGTCAACAAGAAAAAGAAAGTAGCCTAAAAAGGGTGTGTGTGTACCTGCTTTTCTATTCTGGTGGGGACTTAAACCTGAATACACACAGACTCATGTGGACTCATGTCACGGTGGGGACCTAAATTAAGATCCCCATGGGTAAACAAGCTAATAAATCACACAGAATGAAG